TTGGAAGGAACAGCGTCCCTGGTTACCTGCTAACCAGGGACACTGATCTCCAGACAGCTAACTCTCCCTGGCGCTCCGGGAGTCTCCCGATCCCGGCCGCCAAGGAGAGAAGCACTGCTTTTTCTTTTTTTCTTTTTATTCTGACACGGAGCCGTGTCAGAATAGAAAAAAAAAAAGTTGCCCATTGGAATGCATTGCTAGAAAAAGCTGAGCATGTTCGGCCGACCCGAAGCCATGCGAAGCAAGCCGATGTACGGCTGATTTAAGACGATATACGGCTGTAATCAGCCTTACAAGCCTGAAGTGAATAGCCGAACAGTGTTCGGCTCACTTCACTTGGGGTCGGTTGTTCACTCGGCTGCCCTCGGCAGCTTAGTGAATAGACCCTATAGTAATAACATATACTGTACATGAGAGTAAAAGGCATACAAGAAAATCCGTCCTTATGTAACTGGCATCTAGAGCTGGCTACCCTTAAATAAACTTCGATACTGGCGATGTTTTACGTGATTCTCCAAAGAGTATTAAATGTTCATACAAAAAATTATGGTTATCCTAACACCACAGGTATCACAGGGAGATGCTATTCCAACACATGGTTTGCTACCAAAGTATGGGCTTCCTCATATCAGGGGTGCCCATTAGGTAGATCGTGATCTACCAGTAGCTCTCAAAGCTGATGCTGGTAGATCAGGAAGGGTGTGAATGGTGGTCCCTTTTTTCCATTTGGGTATATTTATTTAGCTGTGCACACATGATTACCTATTAGCCTGAGTCTGCTGAGCCAAGCTCCCTGACACCTCTCTGGTGGATACTGGTGGTTGAAGTGCTATGTATTACATCAAAGAATATTAGTTTACACAGCCTGTTGCACTACATTGTTTGCAAAATACAGCAAGGTGAGCCAGGAGAGAGAGCAAGGAGAGACAGCCAGGAAAGAGAGAGAGGAAAGACAGCCAGGGGAGAGCAAGGAGAGACAGCCAAGAGAGCGAAGAAAGACAGCCAGGAGAGAGAGAGCGAGAAAAGACAGCCAGGAGAGCTAGGACAGACAGCCAGGAGAGAGAGAGAGCAAGGTTTTTTTTCGTTGGTAGATCTCATGTAGCTCGTCATTTGAAAAGTAGATCTTAACACAAAAAATTGTGCTCTATATAGATAAATGCACACCAATCAAACAATACATCAACATATAAGATGACACAAAATCATGTACTATATATATTCAAAAACAAAACATGTGAAACTATTTGTTCTTGCCTCTTCATATGGCCATAAGTATGAAGGAAGAACACAATGGCAGTAAAAAGACCAGAAAACACATGCAGCAGCAACTAATTGATTTCCAAGGAACTGGTCCAGAGCAAAGGCCTGTAAAGAGTCAGATGCACGTTCCTGCTCAATAAAAATTGCATATAACTGTATAGGTTGTCACTATACTATATGTTGTATATATCACTTCTGAGCAGATGGGCAAGGTGACCACATAAAAAAAAGAGTCTTACAAGCATACTCCTCATCTCAGTCATGCCACAAATGCCCCATCAGAACATAAAGATCAAAACAAAAACCTAGTAGTTAGCAAAACGCTCAGCTTTAGTTGTCTGGAAAAGTCCACAGTATCTGGCAGGCAGCATGCACTCACTGACATAGTCTCTGGAGCCGGGGTATATCAACAGCTGGCTGGTGAGCCACATATGATAGCACAGAGCCATCAAGTGGATCATCAGGGGATAAACCCCCTATGTCCAAACAATGGCAGACGCAGATGGAACAGCCCTGTGATCCAGGCATCTTTGCCACATAGCTCACAGCAGTCTCAAAGACCACTAACCGGCTGCACTGCCTTTGCACAATACAGACTAGTTTAGAACCCATCTCAACCAGTGACCGGACAAAAAAAAAAAAATGAAAGCAGCAGAACATGAACAAGATCATCTGTTCCCTCCTCCCCCAAGCCATTCTCAGTGTTGAAAGAATAGAACTGTGCAATGCAGTAATGCCTTCCTTCCCCCAATCCGACAGCAACAATGCTGAGGATTAGAGGAAGCTAATGCAAAAAGAGATAAAAGTACTGTTTCTAACTATATGTAAAAGTTAATAAGTGGACACATATTGTCTTTCCATACCTACCTAGAGTTCAACTTTAAAGAATAGGTAATAATTTAGTGTGCTTATCTTTCAGAATCCGTATATGCTAAGCATTTTGCTAATAATACTTTATACTGTATACATAGTGCCTCACATGTGCACTGCAGAACCCATTCATTTCAACTGAAAGCCCATTTCCACCTTTGCAGAGGTATTTTTAAAAAACATATGCCAGCAATCTACACAGAGTATACATGAAGCAGGCATATGCAGGTTATGTATATGAACACAAAAACTAAATTTTTTGTCGCATGGAAATTTCTGCCTCTGTGATGTCCAAGAAATGTGTATTTTTTTCTTCAGTGTATTGTGTGTAAGGAAGAGCTGGTGTTTACTGATCATGTTACAATGGATGACAGGGAAGGAGGCAGCTGGATACAGTCTGACACCCTTGTATCAGACTGAATTTCCTTTGGAAAATGTTTTGAATTTCTAGAATTCAGGCCTAATAAAACCTTCATTAAAAAAATTAAGAAAGCCTGCAATGTGAATCATCAAAATGTGCACATGTATACATCACTGCACCTCTTCATTACCCCAATAAATGCTAATCACTTAGAAAGGTGGAAATGGACTTGAAGGCTTGTCAACAGACTGATAGGCTGCAGAAAGGTCTCCAATTGAAATTAATTAAGACTATGGCTTGCATGATGGGAGTATTTTGAAAAAGAAAAAGGGTATGTGATTCCAGGCAGTCAACATAAATCACTTCAGCCCTCTAGTTAGGTAAGTATATTCTATTAATATTTTATGCTTACGCAAAGAGAGTCCAGGAGATTAAAAACAGTAAAAGTGCACTTATCCTCTAAGATATGTTTGTCAGATTGGTAAGTATGCAGGCTTTATGCAATGCCTAGAAAACTGCACAATAGGGAAAACTATGGAGGCTTTCTGTGCTGCCTTTTACTCAGCAAGCATGTTGTGTAAATCAATTATATTCTTTGCCATCTCAGATATATGTATAGCGCTCACCCCCAAAGGAGCCACTGGAATAAATGGGTACTTCTGTTTCACCTTTGTGATGAACCACTTGTAATGGATACCCAGCACACCAGCACACCTTGTGGGCTTTTTTATGAAAGTTTTACTAAACAAATAATATTCTGTCTTTGTCAAATGGATAATATAAAGAACATCAGCAAAAAAAAAAAAATCTGCCTGCAATATACAGTATACACTTTAGCTATTTAGACAGACCTCAGCCGCTGTAGTCTGATTGCTGCAATATGTATAATACTCAGCTAACTGAGCTGACTGTGAACCCACTGACTATGGTAACTGGGTTAATAACGACTCAGTCCAAAATGTCCCCAGGTCCCTATACTACTGGCCAGTAGTAATTTGCTACTGGCCAGTAGCAAATTCCGGCCCCAACATTGGGGCCGGAATTTTGTTGCAGGTACAGGTTAAATCCAGCAATAACAGGTGTCTTTTGGCATCTCAAAACACAGATGGGTTTGGATGGCGATTTCTCCCTCTCCAGTCTTACTCATTGAACTCTAAATCCTGTGACACATTGCATGCGAAGCCTTGCAGAGCAAAGCAAAGCTGTCAGGCACGGAGCTTCGCATGCAGTGTGTGAGCTCAGTGCGGCCAGATGAATGACTGCATCTTCAGGGAATGAGTTTGTGTGTAACAACCGATTGGACTTTGCATGGTGACGCGCGGGTTTATACGCGCAAGCCGATTGGCTTAAGATAACATTTTTCATCTCGACACACTCAGCTTTGCATGCTCTCACAAGCTGACGTGCTGGAGTGAAAATGACATGGCAGCACGCCGCTGCTCCGTGTGCAGTGTGTCCCAGCCAGTAGAACAGCAGATCTCTCCCTCTCTGGTCGCAGCAAGTCACTCAGGCACAGCAGCGTCCTTTCATTTAGGGGAGGCAGCGGTGTCTCTCTGTAGTACAGCAACCACAGGGTCATACGGTGATCGGGCAGGCGGATCCTCCAAAACAACAGAATCAGTATTTGCTGAATAGAAGATCAGGCAGCTTCCCTAGTAAAGTCCACAGCTCTCTGCAGTGTCAGCAATATCACCTCCAGGTTTCTATCTTTCCCTGAGATGATAGCACAGACAGTTCTCAGCAGCAGATCTAATCACTTCCAGCCTCTCTCACAGTCTGAGCATGCTCACTAGACAAGGCAGACAAGGCTGAATGCACTCCTCTTCCAGATAACAAAGCCTCCTGGGAGCGGTAGTTCAGTGCAGCATAAGTTTACGTTGTCTCTCGCTAAGGGACTGCCCTTAAAATGGAAATGACAATAGCCCCTCTACATATGTAATGTATATATTCCTGCATACTGCAATTATTATGCATGTGCATTATGTATGTCTAAAAGTAGGCTCACGTCCATGGTTAAATGTGGTGCTTGGCAGGCCGTGTTGACACCTACCATGCACCCACCTCACACAATGGGGTTGATTTACTAAAGGAAAATAGGTGTTCACTTTTCAAGAGAGTTTTTCCCTTAGCTTAGTGAATGTAGTGAAAACTCACATTACTAAGGATACCTAATCACGTGCAAGGAAAATAAAAAAGGGGTATTTTTGCTTGTACAAAATTGGATGACGGAAGTTAGCAGAGAATTACCCCATCCACTAAGCTAAAGTAAACTGAAAATGAACTTGAAAGTGAACAACCTATTTGTCTTCAGTAAATCAACCCCAGTGAGTCTAATAACCCATTTTTTGTGGGTAGTTGGTGCATGAAGCATGGGAGTTTAATCACTGTATGCAAGATTTAGGCTTCAGCTGGTTATTTTTGGCTGGGTAAGTGGGCTGAGCATGGGTAGAACAACACCCCAACAATGCTCTTCTGCATGCAGCTAGCCATAGGTTGACCATAGCAAAATAGGTTACTGATTTGTAAAGAATATAACAGGTTTGCTTACTCCTTCGTTGGGTGGAGCCTCAATGTTTTGTGCATTATATAAACACACTTCCAGCCGAAGGATCGGCCGAAGCTACGGCCAGATCCTTCGGCAGCTTTGTGAATAGACCCCTATGACTAGACTCACTATAACAAGAACCATTCAAAATGTTTTCTGTTTACATCCTTCCATTAATACATTATACCTATGAGTTTGTTGATAAAGCAGTAAACAGATATGCTTATCTGCCTTTGTAATGGCGGAAACCAGCCTGAAATACAGAAAAATCTAGTTAAAAAAAAAAAAAAAAAAAAGAAGAAGAATAAAATGAGAGTAATACAAGTTCTTTTTTAAGCCAGTATCACATGGGTTGATCCTGACAAAAAGTGACACAATCTGTGTAGGGCCAGTAATCAGCTCTTTATAAGTGTCTTTCTTTCCTTGCATTGTAGCATTATACAGTATTTACTATAGGTAAAAGGTAGGGATGCACCGAAATTCATCCGCCAAAACATATTGGCTGAAAACGGCACTTTTAGCAAAATGCCGACAGTACCATCTTTCGGCCGAAATTGCGGTGCATGCCTAGTTTCTCTCCTCCCCGCTGTGCACTGCTCTGAGTCCACTCAGACACAGCGCAGCGGCCAGCAGGGAGGAGGGAAACTGTCAGAGGAGGTTGAGCAGCGCGGGGGAGGAGAGCGCTGAGAGCCCCGATGTCAAAGGCGGCCGGGCTCTCCTCCCGCACCACCCCCTCAGCCTCCTCTGACCGATCAGGATGCCCGGGTCTGCGGTAAGGGGTAGGAGTCAGTTGTCAGAATAGACCAAGCTCTCCTCCCCGCACTGCCAGCTCAGCCTCCTGTGACAGCCGATCCAGGTTGGGGAGCGGGTACAAATATTCAGCGATCAGTGATAGCTGACTGTTTGTAAATAATTGGACATAGTATGAGTTACTATGTACCAGTTATGAATGAATAGGAAGTGATCTACATCACTTCCTGTTCAGTCATAATTGTGTACAATGCATGAATGAACAGGAACACTCAGTATAGAGGATTCCTGTTGTTTTATAACAGGGGATGCAGAAAAAGAGATTGAGGACTCAACAGTAAAGTAAAAAAAATTAATACAAATAAAATATTAAACAATTAAGTTTACAAAAAATAAATAAAAATAAAATTTTTTTTTTAAAAGGTTAGAAAAAAAATATTTTGGGTTTCGGCTTGACATTTAAAAAATTTTTTGGTTTAAAATGTTCATTTCTGTGCACTTCTAGTGAAAGGACATCGTTATACAATGAGTTATATCTATCAAAATACAAATCTACTCTGACAAAATCTAGCCACATGTAGGGCCAGTAGCTAACTTTTTATCTGTGTCTTCCTTGCCTGCCTTCTACTTTGCAGCATTATATTTACTCTAGGTAAAAGGATATCTGCAAACAGTTCATATGAATCAAAGGGTTAAATGTTATGTGTACCAAAAAAGGAATCTTATCTGACCCAGCTGATTGTATCTTTGTAGGGTGAACCAGGCATTGGCCATAGAGGACCAGTGGGACAAGCTGGACCTCCTGGTCTTAAGGTAATGCCTCACATAGCCGAAGACTGAATGTTGAGTTTGCCAAGTATTTATTTTTTTACTATGTTTGTTTTAATGTAATTTAACATACTGCTATGTTCTTAGGTGCAGGACAAAAACCAGTAATATATTGTTTCCCATAGGGTGAGCCAGGAGATAAGGGGCCTCAAGGGGTACAAGGTATCCAAGGGATTCAAGGAAATCCTGGCATCTCGGGATCTATGGGTGAAAGAGGAGAAGCAGGACTCCGTGGCCCTTCTGGACCTCCTGTAAGTATAAACTTGTGGTGTAAAACTGGTAAAGAAAAGAGAAAGTCATAAAGATGGAGCAAGGGCACAGTTGGGTTTATTGTTCCTAACAGTGAGTCACTTGTTAGCTTTCAGTCTGTAACCTGCACCATATAATGATCAAAAAACATACTCTGGCTGCTACAGTATTTTTTTGTTTTTCTTTGTTCCAGTTTTTACGAATTAGCCCATCTGCTGTACTGCAACACAATGCACACTATTTTTATAAGGTTATTGCTTTAGCTGTTTTTGTTGCCTTTGTTCTATTTACTTTATCTTCTTTTGATGATCATACTTTTGATCATACTTTTGATGAAAGTGCATTAACATTAACATTTAGAGGGTTATTCATGAAGGAGCCGAAGGATCCAGCCGTAGCTTCCGCTGATCCTTTGGCTCACTTCAGCAGCTGCAGCCCTTCGGTTCAATCAAACCGAAGGGCTGCTGTATGGGCTATTCACAATAGCCCGTACAGCAGCCGAAGGTAGCTGAGCAGCTCAGCCATAGTGACAGGCGAAGCATGGAGAAAAGTTGGCGGAGCCAGCTGTGATCTCACGGTTCGCTCTGCCCAGTTGTAATGACAGATCAGCATCCCCAAATGAGCTGGGGATGCTGATCTGTCATTAAACAACAACATTGTTTTTTGCTCTGCCCAGTTGTTGTTTTTGTTGCCCAGGACCTGCTAGAAGGCTCTAGCAGGTTCCGGCCAATAGTAAACAGTTGGGCGGAGCTAGTGGTGATGTCACCGCTAGCTCCACCCAATTGTTTTCCCGCCATCTGTCAAGATTCTACATTATGCGGCGGGAGTTTGTCGTGTGCAGTCGGGTCGGCGTGCGTTTTTTCTTTTCTTCAAATTTTTTACAACTTTTTTCAGTCATCCAATTTTTGACATTTATTGAAATAATTGTTCAACTTTTTTTAACTCAAGGTAGCGAGCAGAATAGCCAGGCCGAATGCCGCTTGGTAGCATACGGCTATTCACTCACTGCCGTTCATCTCACTCAGCGAGTGAGATGCCGAAGCTTCGGCTCAGCCGATCCAGATGTTGGATCACCTTAGTCGAACTCCTTCTGTACTTCAGCTCAGTCGAATATGCAGAGCATGTTTGGCTGACAAAGGCAGCCAATGTAAGGCTGATTTTAGCCGATGTACGGTTGAAATCATTCGTACAAGGCAGAAGTAAACAGCGTTCGGTTTACTTCACTTCGGCTGGGTTATTCACTCAACTGCCTTTGGCAGCTTTGTGAATAACCCCCTTAGTATTGATGAGATCCATTTTTTTAGTCTATCATGAATGCTGTCTATCATGAATGGTGCTGCCAGACTTATCCAGCTAACCAACCTCTCAGTATCTGCAACCCCCCTCTGTCAATCCCTGCACTGGCTTCCAATCGCCCAAAGGATACAATTCAAAATATTAACAACCACTTACAAAGCCATTCACAACTCAGCCCCCATCTATATCTCAAACCTTGTCTCAAAGTATCACCCTAACCGTCCACTACGCTCCTCCCAAGACCTCCTGCTCTCTAGCTCCCTTGTCAACTCCTCCCATGATCGCCTCCAGGACTTCTCTAGAGTCTCCCCCATTCTGTGGAACTCTTTACCCCAGCCTGTCCGTCTATCTCACACTCTGACTACCTTTAAGCGATCCCTTAAGATTCATCTCTTCAGGGAAGCTTATCCAACCTCAACCTAACCACTGAAATATCACTTTCTCGAACAATTCATCCCCATACAGCTACCTCCTCATGTATCACTTGCCCCTCCCTTTTAGATTGTAAGTTCTCACAGGCAGGGCCCTCCTTACCATCTTGTCTTGAATTGTATTGTAATGTCTTCCCTATATTGTAAAACCCTGCGCAAACTGTTGGTGCTATATAAATCCTGTATAATAATAATAAGTCAGATCTGGTGCCGAGATTACAGCAACACTATTTTACTTGTTAGTTTCAGAGATCACTATAAACATTCCTGTAAAAATTTAACATTTTCGGCTAAACTGGACCTATAAAGTTATATGCTGATGTAAGGATGCTAAAAAAAATGTTGGTCTGCCTAAAGCTCAGCTTCGATATTAAAAGTCTTCACAAACTGACCTGCAACCCTGCAGAGTGCTATTTTACATATTTGGGTTATATCGTTTAATACTATCACTAGTACTACCACCATTACTAGTATTACTTCTATTGCTAATAATATGTTTGGCTTTTTTTCAGGGAGAAAGAGGGAAAAGGGGCAAAAATGGTGGCCCTGGCCACCCGGGAACTCCTGGACTTGCTGGTAAAGAGGTACTAAAAGTTAATTTTTAGTCCTTATATTGTCCATCTGAAGTTGGAAAATAAAAAAAAATTTAGGTTTTGTTTACACCAGGCAAACTCTTCTTTGCTCCACATGCAACTGATGTTCCATTACCCTTAGTACAGTGCTAGCAATACAACATTTGCCAAATCGTTTTATTGGCATCAGATACTATATATTTAGCATGTTAAATATGTTGTCCCTAAGATGTGCTTTTCAAACTTAACATACACAACGTTTATAGTCTTACACTGTAAGTAAGATTTGTAAGCACAAACTCCTTATGTCCTTCTGCAATCTATTGTCCAAAACTGGAGTCCATATTCCAGATGTGGACCAACAAGTTCTTTATAATGAGGAATTTTCTCAATTTTTATACATCTTAAGATTTTTTTTAGCTTTGCTGCCATATTTCATGAAGTGGTCCTGCAAAAACATATTGTTATCATTCAACAAGTCCTGTTCGGCTTTGTTTTGACCATATGAGTTCAATTTACTGTTTGAAGAGTGATGCTAATTTCCTGGCCAAAGTGCAAAACATTTTTTTTCCTTTATCATATTTAATTTGGTCATTGTTTTTAAGATTCATTTGTAATCTTATCCTGTATCAACAGTAGGATCGATTTCATCCAACAAATCAATAATAAATAGTTTGAAGAAGAACTGGGCCCAACCCCAATCTCTTTTGTACAACACTGCTAAGCCCATCTGGAATATGTTTTCAGTACTTAGTACGATCTGCCTGTCCAAGATGGGCAGATCGTACGAGCTTTTAATAAGCTTACGACCATCGCAAGACAAAAGTCTTGCGATGGTCGTAAGGTGTATGAGCACCTTTATTCTTTCAGCACACAGGGATGGATTCCATCTGCACCAGGTTTTTTAAATCTATTTAGGAGTAACTGATATATACCGTATATACTCGAGTATAAGCCGTCCCGAATATAAGCCGAGGTACCTAATTTTAGCAAAAAAAACTGGGAAAAAGTATTGACCCGAATATAAGCCGAGTGTGGGAAATGAGGCAGCTACTGGTAGATAGATACCAATAAAATTACATTAATATTTATTTAAAAGAAAAATAACCTAGCTCTGTAAGTGGAAAAGGGGGTACAGGGCTACATATCATTACACAGGCACACACACACACACTAAATTGCCAAAAGTATTGGGACACCCCTCCTAATCATTGGATTCAGATGTTCCAATCACCTCCATGGGCACAGGTGTATAAAATCAAGCACCTAGGCATGCAGGCTGCTTCTACAAACATTTGTGAAAGAATGGGTCGCTCTCAGAAGCTCAGTGAATTCAAGCATGGTACCGTGATAGGTTGCCACCTGTGCAATAAGTCCATCCGTGAAATTTCCTTGCTACTAAATATTCCACGGTCTACTGTTAATGGTATTATAACAAAGTGGAAGCAACTGGGAACAACAGCAACTCCGCCACAAAGTGGTAGGCCATGTAGAATTACAGAGCGGGGTCAGCGCATGCTGAAGTGCACAGTGCGCAGAAGTCGCCAACTGTCTGCAGAGTCAATAGCTACAGACCTCCAAACTTCGTGTGATCTTCAGATTGGCACAACAACAGTGCGTAGAGAGCTTAATGGAATGGGTTTCCATGGCCGAGCAGCTGCATCCAAGCCTTACATCACCAAGTGCAATGCAAAGCATCGGATGCAGTGGTGTAAAGCACGCCGCCACTAGACTCTAGAGAAGTGGATACATGTTTTCTGGAGTCCTTTGTTTATCTGACTTGCAGTCAGTGTTTTTATTAAAAAGGTTGCAATAAAACAAAATAAAACAGAAAACAAGTCCTTGCCTTTCAGGCTCTGGCTAAACAGGTAGGTTTCCTATCTACCAGGGGGTGAGCTTATCTCAGCCACCTCACAAAACAAAAGGACTTTCAGCAACCTTCTACTCACAACCATCCGACTTGTAGCTCTCTCAGAATGCTCTCTGAGACCCAGGCCAGAGCAAAATCCTGCTTCAGCCTTCCCCCTTTCATCCCAACTGGATAAGCAATCGTTAAGCAATTAACAATCCAGGTGAGAGACATAAAACCCGAGCTGGATTATTCAGACCCAAAGTCAACCTGAAAAACTGGTCTGGGTTTCGCTAGTCCTGTACATAGGATATAAAGCAAGGGGAAATATACCGCCCCTCAATTACTTCTCCTTTCCTTATGTCACAATATATATATATATATATATATAAACAATTTGAGACTCAATTTCAACTCTTTTGCTCATTTTTTATATACCTTATGATCCGATAATGCAGTATCTCATCTATTCAATTTCCCAGTGCTTCTAGGTCAGCAGTAGGCAAGCTTGGCACCCCAGCTGTTGTGAAACTACTAGTCCCATTACAAGATACTAGTAGGGATTACAAGAAGCTGACAGCTTCAGGCATGATTCCAGAGGCAGAAGCATGATGGGATTTGTAGTTTCACCACAGCTGGAGTGCCAATGTTGCCTACCCCTTTTCTAAGTGTCTTAAGTTGTTCATTTAGTAGCAGAACCTGGGTTTCAGATGAGCAATCTGCTCACAGCTAATGCAGCAGTATTCACTCTTGAATGGCTGTTTCAGGAGTGCATACAATGGACAAGATGTACCCAAGGCAATTTATTAATCTTATTAATCAAACAACACATAATAATTTACTAAGGCTTTAACCAATCAACTACTAAATAGTGGTTGTAAGGTTTGCTTTTTCTTATTTAGACAAATTTAAAAACTACAGACTACAAACTCCAATCAAAGTCTGGAGCAGACAAAATCTGGAGCAGTTGCCCATGGCAACCAATCAGCTTCTCTGTTTTGTTTGTTCAGTTAAGGTTTGAAAATGAAAGAGAGAAGCTGATTGGTTGCCATGCACAGATACTCCAGATTTTGTCTGCTCCAGTTTTGATAAATTCCCCCCATAGTTGCCTTTGTTTGTTATGCTTTTTTAAACTGTGTTCTTGTTTTAACACTACACTGTTTATTGATAGGGGAAGCAAGGACCACCAGGCACAAAGGGGGAGAAGGTAAGTGTTTATGTATTAAAATATACATTGTAGATGCAATATGAATCTAATGTAAAAAAAATTAGGAAAATAAAAGTGAGAAGGTTTCCTGTATAATTCCCAAACTTGTACTTGAGAAATCACAGGTACAATCTGACTGACAAGTCACTAAAAAGTATGAGTTATTTTTACTTCTTATTGTATCTCATGACAATTTTCTGCTTAAAATGTTTAAAGTGTATTTGGACTTTTGCAGCTTCATTGAGATAACACCCTTTGATTTTATCATTAGGTCATTAAAATAACGCTGACAATGTTATAACATTAGTTAGAGGTGCACTGAAATCGAAATTTTAAAACCGAAATGAAGCTGAAAAAAAAAATTGTCAGGTCGAAACCGAAAATATTTTTATTTTTTTCAAATTTTTATAAACGTTTTAATTTTTTTACATTTATTTTTATTCATTAATTCATTTTTTATTAAATATTTTTATTTTTTACTTTACTTTTAGGGGCTTCGGGGAAATATTAGGGGTCTAAACAGACCCCTGATATTTCCCTTTTAAAATAGTGTCCAGTTACAATGCATTAATAGTATTAATACAATGCATTAATAGTAATTAATAATTATGAGTGGGCTGCCAATGTACTGCAAGGGACAGAAAAATGCACCACAATGTGCTTATATGGTCCACACTCATGTTAATGTGAGTTGTGTTAAAGCAGAGCCAACGTGAGTTGTATTAAAGCAGCCCATTAATTATAAATGGGCTGTCTATGCACTTTAATAGACCAATTTACCAACATGCACATTATTTCCAGAAAGATCAACTGGTAATAGAAGTATATAGTGTAAAAACATGAATTACTGTATAATGATATTGACAGACATTGCATCATAAAAGTCATTTTTGATTTTGCCTATAGTTCCAGTTTAAAATACAAGAGCTAGTATTCAAGAGAAAAATCAGTCCCCTTTGTCTTTAATATATTCTTATATTCACTAGAAATTTCCGTTTACACTATTGTGCACTACTTACAGACTGCAATGGCTTAAAGGCTGCAATGGATTCAGATATCAGATTAAAGTAAATATGGTTTAGCACAGCTGTTGTGTTTTCAAGACAGTCTGCAGTTCATTAGTTGGTTTTATGGATGTGTATAGTTTAACCCCTTCATGACTGAGCTTGTTTTTAGTTTCTGTTCGTAAATGACTGACACACTTTTGACATTTTTGCTGTGTGATTCTTCCACGTCAGTAATATACTTTCTTACAAAGTGCACCCACACATATTATATATTGTTTTTTAGAGGACAGATAGGGCTATATATTTATATCACATATGTGTGTCTAACGCCTCACTTAGGACAAATACAAATTAAAAAAAGAGGAAAAAACGTAAAAAAAATACATTCATTTATTTGTCCCTTATTTTTTATTTTTTTACACTTTTCACTATTTTTTTTAATTTATTTACACTTTTCACTTTTTTTATACTGACAAATTTTATTTATTTAATTATATCAGGCAGTCATTGTGAATTAATCTCACTATTACTGCTTGATAAATTAATACATTTTTTTTATTATCAGGCTGCTTCAAACTTCAGAACAGCCGATAATAAGTTAGTGACACTGATCCTGCAGCAGTTCAGGATTCAGCTGTCAGTGAATGTTTCAGAAAACTTAAACATTCTACTTTCAAGAATAGATACATTATGTGTCTAATACATAACATTTTGTATCTATTCTTGAAAGTCAAAAGATAAAAAAAAAAAAAGCCAGTATAGCTTGAGAGAGATATCTCTCGATCTATACGAGCTGTCAGAATGCCGGCAAAAGCCGACATGTGTGTCCGCTTTGCTGTGACTCTCAGACACCCGATATTAAGGTATCGGGTGTCTGAAAAAGGTTAACCCTTTCAGTAATGGATCTCTAGATAGTTAGACATCTATTACTGAAAGGTAACCGCTGATTCTCAGCGGTTAGCAGCCTTCTAGTGCAGCAAATAACTCGTCACGTACAGTGTACGTGACGAGTCATTTGGTCCCTTTGTGGCTGGACGTACAGTGTAAGTCTCCCGTCACGAAGGGGTTAAACTTATAAATAAGGTTTAGATGTGTGCATATCACATTATATATTAATAATATGCACACAAAAAAGGAATACTTTAGGCCAAGTAAAAAAAAAAAAATATGTAAAATATGTGCCTTGTTTATAAGCTACATTTTAGTCTCAACACATTTTGACCTATAGTAAATCATGTTTGAGTTGTATAACACTTGATTTTTCAGGGTGAAGGTGTTGTGGGTGAGCCTGGTCCCAGAGGTCTCCGTGGTTTCCCAGGTCTCAGAGTAAGTCATTCTCTCATGTGTATAGCTTTTGTGTGAAACAAAACATATTTCTGCTCCTAAAGAAGGTACCCACAGTATGTGCATAATTTTATGTGCTATGCCCATAACGTGCTGACTTTTTTTACAATATAAATTTACTACAACCTATACACACACTTTGGAACACCGTGATTATATCATGTGCCCACATCAAGTTAGTCCTAATTATTAGTGTATAATTATTATGCTGTGTAAACTAGCATTTACAGAAGAAGATCAGTTATTTCAGCCTCTATTTTTTAAATGCGCATGAATATATGCAGACTTGGGTACCACTAGATAACTCCGTGGTGCCAATTGCATTTAATAACTACATACAGTAAATAAACACTGCACTGCTTCATAAATCTGTTATGGATTTTGAGTGACCATATACATACAAGGAAAGTTCTGTCCCATTATCAAAGTTAAGGTTTTCACCAATGCATTTTTCTAAATGTATTATTTAAAATCCTGCAGTTTCCATTAAGATGAATAGTACTGCATTTTTAATGCATGTAAAATGCACTTGCACATGCATTAATGCATAGGGCTGCACCCTTCTCTCTGGAACACACATATAGAATAGATGTTTTCATGTTGGCAAACAGAATGCGTGCATGTATAGTGATTCACCACCAGATGGAACTAGACAAACATGTTTCACACATGCTGCTTCTATTTAAAATGAATCACCAGTTTTGTTAGGGGAAAAAAATAAACTCCAGGTGAAACTATATTTACACTCATTTTAGAAAACTTTATATGAGTTGCTTATATGCTTTATTTATGTAGACATTGTGGTAGACCACAAAAGTGCATATGCACATATTCCTAAGCAGTGCTAAGTGGAAGGATCTGCTTTTGTTATAAATATACAACTTGTCTCAGTGTTGCAAAAACATTACATCCTGATGAAGCTATCAGTGCAGAAAACATAAGGACACTGGTGTGGATGTAACATTTAATGCAGTAGGCTGCATCAAACTCTGCAGACTTCTGGTGAATACAGTGAACCAATTAGCCCTTATTCACATTAGAAACGTCCGGGACGTACAGCTCAGTGCTGCGTGCACGGCCGTATTGGACAGCTCCAGGGAAGGACAGGTGCTGCGTGTGATTAGTATGCAGCCACCGTCCTTTTCTATGGGACTACTACTACTAGGTTTGTGCGGGTGCGTGTTTCCTGGCTTGGACACAGACAGGATCCATCCTGTCAGCATACGAGTACGCTCACCCACACCCGCACGGACGTGCAGGGCGTGTGAGCGTAGGGCGGCGTGTGGACGCGTAGTCCCATAGAGAAGGACGGGGGCTGCGTACTAATCACGCGCAGCACCTGTCTTTCCCGGGAGCTCACTGATACGGCCGTGCACGCAGCACGGAGCTGTACGAGCCGGACAATTCTAGTGTGAATGGTGCCTTATAGAAACACGGCCTGAGGATGCTGAAAATCCTCCTCCCATTCTAATGCTGCTGTTATGATTCCATAGAAAGGACAATTTTTTGTTGCACACTGAAATGGAATGGGTATTTGTTAATTAATTAAATTACACACAGCAAGTAGTCATATATATCTTATGAATACTACTTAGGGAGCAATAGTCTTAGTACAGTTTCTACTGACAGTCTTGTAATCCAACATGTAGGTGAGCAGTATATTTGCTGCACTCATTCTGAGGGTTTAGGCCAATAAAAACACATCACTGATCATCATTATGTGTCTTACTCAATGCCATAATTTAGTCTTACTGTTCTAGTGATTTCCATAGCTTTAGGAAACCGTTACTATAAACAAATTGGTACTTTAGGATAAAATGTATTGTGCATACAACATAATTGTAATTTAGTACAATGCTTTTATTTTTTTGGTTACCTGTCTTTCTGTCAAAGACTTACAATGTTTACATCTCCTTGGTGCATGCTTAGAGCCAATGTTGTTTCTCTGGAAACCACTAATTTACTTCACTTAGAGGTCACCTTTGGCAGAAAGAAAGAAGGGGTACTGATTCAGCTTTATACAGGGCCTGTCCTGTGTAAATGGGCTATTGTTCGCTTCAAGCAGGTTTTGTATTGCCATACAAGTCTTTGGGAACACAAACCCCACTTGAAGCAGGTCAAATGGACGTCAAGTGCAGTGGACGGCAGCACCAGAAGGTGCTCCTTGAGGTCTGTAAGACTTCTAAACCAATCCCAAAGTATTCCATTTAACATTTTATATTATTTGAAAACAATATGGTGATCATTGGAGCCCCTCTTTACATCTTCAGCTGTTATAAAATATAAACTGTTATTATGTTTCCGGAATCTAAGATTGTACTTCATGAAATAAACATTTTCCCATTCGTGGTATGACATAAATGAACAGTAAAAACTCTAAATTTTGTTGTCATCCAGGCATCAAGAAACAAATTAAATTCTAATGTAAAACTGCCAGCCAGTGTATATAGTGGGTTTTGTATTACATAAAATACAGTATATGTCAGTATATGTTTATTTTTGAAGGTCTCCTGACATCCACATTTCCGCCTCCTCTATGTAAAGTATGGTGATATACGTCTTTTTTTAAAGCATATAGTATGTCATGATCTCCTTTTTGACTTGCTTCATTAGGGAGAAAATGGAATCCCAGGATTGAATGGCCCAGCAGGTATAATGGTAAGTTTGCAGGAAAAGGGGGAAAAAAAGCCTTTTTACTTGGACAGTATAAACATGCTGTCTGTATGACCCTGAGGACATTTTGACCAAAGTATTTTTTTTTTAGAATTCTGATGAAAAAGTGTTTTGGAAAATATTATTTAGAGACGTACCTCATGTTGCTTGTACCAAACAAGAACCCTTGTGTCACAATAACATACTGGCAGCAACAATGGCCTTATTGACTGAATTATGGTTATAAATAAATCTGTTTATGCTCAAGCTATTCTGTTCACATGTTGATTCTAAAATTGGTAAAGAAAAAAACTGCCACAGATGCCAGGAATGTTCAAGAACAGTGAGCACCGCTCCCACAAACAAAAGTGCAAGGAATAAACAACTTTTTATGAAGTCAAAATGTTTTCGGGAAGGTAGATGTGAACTTATATATACACCTTTTATTGTTATTCTTGTCTGGCCATTCCTCAAACCAGTACAAAGTTTAATGGCATTTGTAACCATCCTATTTAACTCTGATTTAGCATCTACTTTAGAAACTGAAACTTTGCCGGAACACGTCAGTATAGAAATGTTGGAGCTGCAATAGGTGGCTTGGGTTTAAATGGTGCCAGCGCTGGTACTCACTGCCATCCTTCCCCCATTACTGTCACCAACCCAGACCCCCATAATATATAAATAATATGCACATGTGTATTCCAGAAAGGATAAGGATGACAGTTCCCAAGCAGGCACCTTTAAAAGCATGTCAGGCTGACAGTTTCCATATCTCTTACCTGCTGAGCATTATGTGATTATATACACATTACCTACTTCAGAAGACATCTCTCCCCTACTGCTGCCCATTACATTACGTGTGGTATAAAGTTTGTGTTTCTCTTCTGTATTTAGATTTATAGTTAAACTTGAGGCAGATATAAAAAATACCATTTAATGTAGTTATGTATTAGTTAAAACATCATTAGATGCAGCCTTTTTTTTGGTGCTGGAATGGGCCACTGCATTACTGCACACTGTAGCTTCCTATTCAGTAAGAGCTACTAAGCATCCTATTTGTTGCATAGCATCTCGGGTACTCGCATAGTTACCAAGTGTCCTGGATCTTGCAGGACTTGGGATTTTGGACACTGTCTTAAAGTGTCCGTAATTAGCTGGCAGCCCCACAAGACCTGGGACACTGGGTACCAACAAACTATCAAAAAGTTGCTTGCCGTTCTGCTGTGCTTCCTGCCCCATGTAAAAAGTAACAGTGTTCAAATTGTTCTGAGCAGCATGATTACTGTTTACTTTTCCAGCAAGCTTCAATGTAAGTGAACAGTAAGTGCTTAAGATGGGTAACTGCCTGGCTTACTGCCAGTTGCATGAGAATGGTCTTGGATTTCTGTAGTGGTTTGATGGCCACATTGGGGAGAAGATCTTTGGTGCTATCACAGTGCCCCATTTTCCCCTTCCTCATATAGCCACTGTATTTTCACAGTCTCTCATCTACCACCTCTGCAGCCTGCACGGAAAGGGGCTTTTAAACACACTGTTGACTCTAAGAGGGGTGGGGGGCTTGGTCTGTATTTAACACAGCATCCCACTTTAAACTAAAATGTTGGAAATCTACGAAAGCAGGCTTTTCACCAAAAAGCAAGACCCCATTTATTTATCAGGTTCCCCAAAATAAATGTCTGCATTGTTTTAGTGAAGAAAATATTTGGGGGTTTGATAAAGAGTTGTGCTAATATCGTGCAACATAAAAATGTGCAACTGCCACGATTTTATTTTATAGGGTCTTGGCTTTCAGAAAATATATAATGTTTGGGGGTTTTAAGTAATTTACAGGCCTAAAATGTGGATTAAAACATGTAAACAAAAAAAATGGGGGGAAAAGGCCATGAAGGGGTTAATCATCATACTTGGATCTAATCTGACCACAATCAACGTCAATGAGGAGAAAACTAAGACACAATAAGATATTAAAAAACTATGTTAAAAACATGTGTTGTTGAATACATTGCTTTGTGTATGTAGTGATGAAAAAGCTACGTATCAATATCAACACCATCTGAATCTGGAAGGGTGGTAAATGGATTGCTTCTCCATATTAGGCCATAGTGATATATAAACAAATTGGATAGAGATCTTGTTATCACATGATTGCATTGAACAGACATTCCTCCTGGTGCATAGTCATTTTCTCATATCTTCATTTGTAAAATAGTCTGTTGGAGGTGCTGAAATATCTGTATTTAAGTTTCCACCCCTACAGCCATTAAAAGTCGTATTCTCCCTGTTGGATTTACCTGAAATATGATATTTTTTCAATAATGCGACAATGACAGCAACGTGATTTTTCAAAAGAAAGGAAAATTACATGAATTGTTAACTCTATAGTAAAGTTCAAAGTTTAGTGACTCTAAAACACAGATGAAACCAACAGCTTCTAGCTGCGTTACAATACTTCTGTCATCTCACTACTTAATAGAATATTGCAGCTTTGCACATTCAAGCTAGGCGGAGAGCATATTATTTTTTTTACATAGGCTTACATTTTTTCATGCTTTAGTTCTTTAAATAGCCTTTCTTTGTTAATTCTAGCCAGTGACGGTCAGTCAGCATGGGGCCTCAAATAATACGTGGCTTTATTGATTGTTTTAGATTACCCACACATCGGGCATTTTCATCTTGAGACTGTGAACCTTAATCTCATATGCAAACATTTTTTTTTTTTTATTAATGCCCAGTCTCATTAGGATAACATGTCATAAGAATAGTACAATTACAGTGCCTTCCCTTCTTGCCCATCCACATCATATTGTGAATGTTTGCAGTTTCCATAACAACTTCTGCCTTGCTTCACAGAAAATCTTTTTGTCCAATTCATGTTTACATATTTGTCATCTAATTAACCCTTTGACACCTGATTTTTCCAGCTTTGATGCACACTGAACGTAATATAAATTAATGACTGTTTAACCCTTCATTTCCCAGCCTTGTCAGCACATTACATTTCTGTTACCTTGGAGGCAGTTTCTACATATGGGCAGTATTTTACACATATTAAAGTTATCTATATGATCAGTTATTTATATTGTATTTGTGAGTAGCGAACAGTGTACACCTGACTGTAGACATTAGAGTGTATTTTTCTTTGGATTCATTTTGTAAACTAAAATAACTAAAAAGAAAAAGTCAAGACTAATAATGAAAAGGTGAGAGACCTCGCCTGTCTTAATCTGAATCACTGCATAGCATATATTGGTGCAGCACCAAATATACAAAAAGTACTATTGGAGATGTTAGATGTCTTAGTTTTAACAAGTTTACTGGATTTAAAAAAATGTAGTAAATAGAGCCACAAATGTAATACGTGGACCCAAACTGACATATATTAGTTCAGCATTTAAAGGGGTGAGAGGTCCCATTTACAGGCCTAAGCAACTACTGAGCTTGAGAAGATTTCTCTGGAAATATTTCCTGACCTTTTTTTTGAAAGCTGAAGGACCTCAGTTGGATTGGGTAATGATGATAGAGATTTTTATATAAAGGGGTTCTCTGCCTGCATTTCTCCTTACTCCCCCCACTCCACAAAAATTTCCATTTGTGGCCTCAAGTAATAGGGATGAAAGCCTCACAAGGGATTTGAAAGGCTTTCCTTCTGGCACATCATGCAGGGAACAGGGTCAGCATGGCGCCACTCATAGTAGGGCCAAGTGTAGGCTTGAACCTTGCAGTAAATCTCCTCAGCCCCACCCTGCAGTCTGCAACAGCATCCTTTGCCAGGCAGGTGTCTCATCTCCAGCTCCTGGAGCCGAAGAAAACATTGAAAAAGCAGCCTAGTAAAAGTGCTTAAATACTCTGTAGGGAGTCACTCCAATATTTTCCCTTTTTAAAAAAAATAAATCATACACTCTAATGTTAATTTGGATTAAAAGTTGGCTGTTCTTTCTTCTATTGAAAATGTGGCCTAGTATTAGTGCTTCAATACTGTTCACAAACTTCCTACAATATATTGACGTTCTTTTTTTCTGTGAAATATACACACACTAGAATCGGAACACAGCATCACAAATTGGCGGCTTATGCCGATGATGTTCTGTTCCATGTGCAGCAGCCTCGGGTATCACTTCCAAATTTATTGAAGGCTCTCTCCTTATTTGGGATGCTGTCTAACTTTAAAATTAATTTGAAGAAATTTTGAATTTGAATCTTCCTATGGGAGAAGTGCATTCTTTAAAACCAAGTTTTCCGTTTAAGTGGTCTCATACGCACCTGAAATATTTGGGGATTATGTTGACGCCAAATATTACCTCAATGTTTTGTTTGAATTATATCCCATTGTTGAACAGGATTAAAGGGGATCTACAGCGTTGGCATTTGCTTTGTCATACTTGGCTGGGAAGGGTAAATGTTGTAAAGATGAATGTTTTGCCCAGGTTGATATTTATGTTTCTGATGATCCCGTTTGGGGTCACAAAGGATTATTTTAAAATACTGCAGACTGAGATATCTAAGTATGTATGGAAACGTAAGAAACCGAGGGTCTCTAGAGAGGCGTTGGCATGGTCCAAGGTGGATGGCGGTTTGGCGATCCCCAATTTTAGGCTCTATTACCATGCAGTGATTCTTACTCGGGTTGTAGATTGGATATATGCAGGTCAGACCAAGCAGTGGGTGGCCGTTGAGAATGTGTTGAGTGGATCGGAAATTAATTCAGCGATCTGGATTGCCAGACAGTTTCGGGGCCTGTCCTCGGACACTTCGCCTCTGATGAGGTCAACTTTGTGGGTTTGGGATGGTATTTTGTTGAAAGCTGGATGTCGGTACAACTCTCCTCTGCTACCCTTGACTGGTCATGCATATTTTATGCCGGGTAAATGGGACAGGAAGTTTAACGATTGGAATGCGGATAAGCCTATCAGCCTCCATCACGTGCTTAGGGGAACAGTGTTGGCACCTCTGGAGACCCTTTTAGATCCTAATGGTTTGACATTTATGGATTATTGGCGATATTCACAGTTACATAATTTTGATGCATCGCTCCCTAGACCATTGCGATCTTTAAGGGATCTGAGTCCTATTGAAACTATGTTTCTTTCAAGTAGTAGGCCTGCCAGGTGCATCTCCCGCTTTTATAAAATTTTGTTGGAATTTGGGGGACCAGAGTTTCCCGATTTCTTGACTAGATGGGAGAGGGACTTGAGCAGCCAGCTGACTGTTGAACAAAAAGTTAAGGTATTGGCTTTAACACATACATCTTTGATGGCATGTACCATGGAAGAGATGAATTATAAATTTTTCCCACTTGTGCTGGAGGGTATGTGGACAAAGGGGAACTATGGTGCATGTATGGTGGACTTGCCCCGTTATCCAGGGATATTGGGGTCAGGTGAGGACTTATATTGAAAACATTATGGGTTCTCATATTGAAGATGATCCATGGTGTATGTTATTTCATTGCACTATAGATTCTAGAGCGAAATATAGATGTTAATTGACCCCCCATCTACTTAATGCTGCGAAAGCTCTGATACAGCAGTATTGGAAGCAGGTTTCTATACCCCCGTTACATCAATGGTTTGAAAAAATTAACATCTGTAATATGGAAGAGATGGTTTTAACGTCTAGAGAACAATATAAAAGGTTTTATAAAACATGGGCAGGGTGGTTTGAATTTAAGAAGAATGCAGATTATGGTTTGGTGATGTCATTGGCACATTAATAATGGTCTTAATATGATGAGGTATATAAATTAAGAGGGGTTGTGTTTGTGTGTGTGTTTTTATTGTTGTTGTTGTTTGTGTTTGTTTGTCCTTGTCTATGTAGGGAATAGTTAGGTATGTATAAATGTATGTGTATGTGAGGACAGTTAAGCTAAACTAGGTGGGATTTAAGGAATGCTTTCAAGGAAGTATTTGATTGTTTCATAAAAGAGTAAAAATAAGTTATGTAATAATGTCATTATATTTATTAAGCGGAAATGTCTATGTTGGATATGCTGTCCACAAAAAAATAAAAATATATACACACTCTGCTCTCCTGCTCAAAATACAGACTACCAAAAATGCTTAAATACTGTCAGTACAATATTCCTGTTACCTTTTCAGTGAAATATATACATTTAATAGTGAATTTTGGGCAGAAAAACTAAATGCAGTGTGTCATTGTAAAAATGATGCCTACAACATGCTATATCGAAAAATCAGGAAAGTTTTTTAGGCAGCCGACTGACAACTTGCACACCAAGACTTTTTTTTTTTTAGAAAAAATATTTTAATTTCTCTCTCTCTCGGTATCGCGCCCCCAGCAGCTAATACAGCCCTGCAGGCTGTACACTCTGTACGCCTACAACATGCTGTTTAAATATTGTTTATGGCATCCATTATTTCTTCGCTTTTAAAGTAACCAATATACAGGTGTATGATTTTGCAAATGAAGCCTACGAGACACTGTTGAAATACTGTCTATGCAGTCTGTACAATATTCATTGGTTTATATAGTGACATTTTATATATTTTTTGTCCCTAAAAATGGAAAGAAGTTTTTTTTGTAAATTAATTGTTAGTATAGTGTCATTTTTAAAATGCAGCCCACTCCAGCTGCTTCCATGCTAAGTACTTTAAGGGCTTTAGATTTTTTTTTTTTTAAGAGAAGACCTTCCTACAGGTTTTAGAACTGTTGTGGCTGCTTCTTCCACTGCTCAATTTTAGCCTATTACCACTAAATAAAAAAATAAATAAAAAGGCTCAGATTGGGGTGCTGTTGCTGTATTCCAGATACATGTAAATCAAGATAAATTTAAAATTTGTGATGAAATGATGATACAGTGTTGCTGATGCTGTCCATGAAAATTATACTGCAAACACCTAAAAGGCAGCTTCCAACCATGTAATAAAAAGAATTGGTGCTTTTGCATTTCATCCTTAAAGTTACATAAAAAGGAGGACCCTCTCGTTTCTGAATGGTATTTTTATAAATTATTTTCCATCGGTACATATGCTCTCATGGCAGTGTTCAGCTCCGCATGCCTTTTGTTTGACAATACCTTGCCTATTAGCCTTCAAAATGACCATAATTGATTTTCAAGATTTGCTCCCCATTGGCAAAAAGCCTGCGAATCAAACCCAGGCAAATTCGCGAGACACTATTGTGGAGTATAGTAAAGTTTTTTCCAATGGTTCATGTGTGTGTTCTACATCACCATACTGGCAGTATCATCCACTGCTTATACAGAGAAACGAATGGATATCACTCTCAACTGGACACGTGCATTCAGATATAGATAAACTTGCGGACTAACAAAATTCCTTTGATATGGTAGTTTGTCCAAATCCATAATAACGAATAACTTTATGTCCAAATATACGAAAAATATATTAGGGCATATAGTAATTTGTTTTGTATGGGCATCACCATCTTGCTGCGTCCAAGATGGCAGTGCCCATACATGCGTAGGACGTTGCTCAGCGCCAGCGTCATGTGCCCCACCTTCAAGATGGCGGCGTGCATGCATAGAATGTGTCAGTGGCCAATATGGCTGCAGCGCATTTTGTTTTTGTAAATGTGCGCTTTCAGATTTAGAGGTTTGTTGCCTCTGACTCCGAAACAGCATAATTGCTTGTTTCATCAAACAAAATGAATGAAAAGGTTTTTCCCATTTCATTTGTTTTGTCCAAAACAAACGTTTATGCTGTGCACATGCCCATTCTTAACCATTACATGAATCTCTTTAAGAACATTCATCTTCTAACACAGTTTCTGACATTAAGCTATTTGCACCTCGTTAAATGTTCATTCTAAATAAAACATCTGCGTGTCACATATGTAAAATTTATGTTTGTTTTTTATAGGGCCCAAAAGGTTTTCCAGGTGTGAAAGCTGAAAGAGTAAGTATTCAAAACAAACTTTAGATCATTATAAACATTTAAGTTGTACATGGTTAGGCCTCATTCACACTGCCACACATATACGCGTGTATATGCGCGTAGTGCATATTGTACCATATGCAAATAAATGGCTCCATACACATAGCTGCGTATGGAGCCGTTTATTTGCATAGAGTAAAAATGCGCAAAAACAGAATGAAACTGAGATGCGTCCGGACAGCATATTTCTGCGTATCTTACGAGCATATACGCGTGTTTGCACGCGTATACGCACGTACACGCATACAGTTCATTGAAATTTCTATTACAAATTATGCATTCTGGGTTTGCATATAGTGCACGCATATGTATATATGTGTATACATACGTGCATGTACGCATATATACGCAATATACAATTTTGCTCTTGCGTTGTGCGTGAATGAGGCCTTATAGTTAATGTCATCGAAGGTTGGATGGGGAAGTCTGGCTAAGTAAATATTTTTTATCTTGTTGTCACTACATTTGCCTATTATGAGTGGGTAAATGTTCAACTTGTTCTACTCTTAAAGTAGAACTGAAGCCAAAACTTTAGTTTTGGATGGAATAAGTGTAGTAAGGAAGGGTTATAATCAGACATGTACACCGGCAAATAATTTGTTTAGTTTCTATCCGTAAAGTAAATGATTTACTTTAGTCGTATACGTTACATTAGAATGATTCATTTTTGGAATGATTCGTTATTTTGCCAAAATTATTTGATATGCCGAATCAATTCGTAATTTCAGATGGTTAGTTTTTCGTTATTACATACAATTCATTATTTTGGAAGACTGGCTATATATCAACCTTTAACAAAAGGCCCAAACTATCGCATCATGACATCCAAATGAGACAAATGAATCCGGAAAAATATGTTGTTTTCGTTATAATTTCTTTTGCATTTATTGAAATTAGTTACTAATGTTATTTGGAGATTCGGATACATCCGAATCTCCGAATAATACAAATTCATCCGAATTTCGATTCATACCGAAACGAATCGCACATGTCTAGTTATAACCCCAGACAGCTTTTCTTTTGCCATCTGTGTCCCACTGGGAAGACTTCCCTTCACTTTCTGTCTCAATAGAAAGTGAGAGAAGATCCGTCCTAAGAGAGGAGAATCCCTGGCGGTCAGCAGGTTTATCAGAACCAGTGCCCCCATTGCAAGATTTCCCATCTATCCCTGTTCTGAAGACAGCCCATAATTTGGGATTTCCTTATACCTACACTTTAAGTGATAACAAACACCAGGACAAATAGAGAGGGTTAAAGAGGAACTTTATCTTTAAAATAACAACAAAAACCTTTAGAAATGTTTAGTAATGACAATCTACAAACACATACTTCTAGATAATTGCCGGCTTTGTATTCTTTGCATACCTTTTTTCTCTTTTTTTTCCCCCAGCCTTCTGGCAGTAGCCATCTTAACTAAGGGCAGATTACTAGCTCTCTATTTACTTCCTGGAACTCTGGCACATGTGACTAGACATGTGGCTAGGAAATGTGACGATGCATATCATCTCAGGGGAGGAAAATGCCTTTCCCTAAGATCTGGTGAGATTACAGATGAGATTTCCCAGCAATGCTTTGCTGATGTAACCTTCCCTAGATGTAACGCTTCAGCAGTTACATAATTTGTGCCTGAGCTAGACCAGGAAGTAGATGAACTCTATTTGTAGGTAAATTAAAAACAAGTTTGTTTAACTCGTGAATGCAAGATGATTTTAAATCAGCATGCCGAGATGCATGCTGATGGGATTTTTAGTATAAGGGGGTAAAGGTCCACTTTAATCTCCCTAACAAGGACACAGCCAGCGAAAAAACAAAACAAAAAAAAACCTTACAGGTGTACTAATCCCTCTCCACTCTATCCAAAATATTAAAAAGTCACACTTAAAAATGTATTTCCACTTTGCTGGCAAATTGGTATAACACCTACCTTGTTATACTCCCACTTACATAGCATACATTTTAAGTGATTTTTACTTGCTTAAAAATCCTATCTGGCTTCCCGCTGTGTAATGTTAAGGAGGGAGCTGTGGGAAGTTATGTTTAATTAACCCTGTCTGTACTGAGCTGGCAGATTTCAGTATCAGTTCTAAATTAGATTTGTACACTGCTCTAACAAAGGGTTAATAACTTAGAAGACTTGTATGGTAACGAAAGCAAGCTCAGTCTGTTTTCACTTTCAAACTGCTCACAGTAGGCTGCACAAAGGCCTTCACCAAAGAAACATCTAAAAAGTAAGAAGTCTTTTTTTTTTAAAGTATTGTTTAGGTATGCTTTTTAGAATAGGAAAACATAACATATAGTGGGGGTTTCTCAAAATTCACTGCAAAAGTGGAAATACACATTAAGTCAGTTAAAAAACTTGTCATACACTCCACATAAGAAGATGCTGTCCTTAAAGTGTACAGTATGTAAAGCTGAAACTTTAGAGTAGGAAATAAATAGTGAATGCATAGACAAGGAAAGGACTAGAACCTCTGTTAAGTTTTATGTCTGTCCCTGCTAGGTATATTCACCCTCTCTATTTGTCCTGGTGACCAAAGACACCAAGACAGAAAGTGATGGGAAATCTAAAAATTTAGAGTTGCCACCAGAACAAGAGGTGGGGGTAAATACTCCAGTAGGGACAACTAATATGGGAATTCCTCTAACTTTGTGAGGATTGCCTTCCACTTTCTGTTGAACAGGAAGTAGTCCCACAGACAGCAAAAAAATAAGCAAACTTACAGGAGTTTTAACCCTTCCAAATAAATCCAAAACTAAAAATACAAGTTTTGGCTATACATACACTTTAAAGCAAAAATTCTGAGAGCAGTTTGTTGGAGAGTAAGAGAAATTGGTAAAAGAAATTTAGAACGTTTTATTCTTTTCCTTTTTTTTATTAGCCCTGGTTTGGTATATTTGTACGATTTTGGACTTGGAAAGATTTTGAAAGCTGTTCTGCTTTTGAATATAATTTATTTCACTGCTGGCTCACACTGGGTTTAACTTTGGTTTGTTGTCACCGATTAACTGCCTGAATGGGATTACCCAGCATTAGCCCATGACTGTGTATAATGTAACTGTGTCTGTTTCGTCATTTCTACAATCTGAAGAAGAAATTAAGGTATAGCAGATAGGAATAGATGTTTTACTTGCAAAGCTTTATTTGAATAACTCTTGCATTTTTAAATCCCTCTAATATGGTTGCCACAGACATGTTTAGGTGCTTGCATTGAAAATTGTTATGTTACTTCTGCATGTAGAACAATGTAAAACTGTTTCCCATTCTATATAAATAGATACATAAAAAGTAACTTATGGATCATGCATACTGATATATTTCCAATATGCTGTATCTTACACTAAACTATATTTTTTAAATAAGTCTGCAGTCTCATTCAGTTGAAATTCTCATGTCCAAAGGCTGTCCATTTCCAAAACTACCATTGGAAAGCATTTAGGTGTGCTATATAATTTTTTAATTTCTTGAACTATTGTCCAGTGATTTTTTAAAAACTTAATTTATTTAGTGTAAGGGGACCATGCATCGGGGTTTACCACAATTTATTTTCACACCTCCCACAGATATTGATATGACAGTATCCAATAAACTTTGTCTTTGTTTGTATATATCTATATATGCATATACAATATATACACATTATCTATGCCTTATAGGCTGTGAGGTAGTGTGCAGCAATATGGAAAGGTTCAAAAAAAAGATGTTAATCATATGAAATGTTTCTTTTTTGTAGGGTGATCGAGGACTGACTGGTTTTAAGGGAGAAAAGGTAAAAGGTCAAACTATTAGTTTTGTACTTAGTAGACATGTAACCCGCAAAAAAATGATTTTGTCTCGGACACATTTCGATTTTTATTTCTTTTGTTTTTCGGGTCTGTCCAAATTTTCTTTTCGGAACAAAGTCACATGACAGTGGCTGTAATGCAACCCACTAAAGGCAAAAAAGCCCATCTGATTGGCCAGAGAACAGTCACATGTCCGAATTATTTTTGTTTTGAATGAAATTCGGATGGATCAGAATTTTCGTAAAATGACCATCTGGATTTGTTCACATTCGTTAGAATTCAGAAATTTGGGTGAGACTGAATGTCCGAATTTAACAAAATTTGTACAAATTTACATTGAGAACAAAATGAAATTTACAGGTCTAGTAATTCGGTTATTTGGGATAACCTAATAAAGCACTTATATGAAAGTTAAACTCCAGCCTTACCTTTGGGCCCCATTAACACACGAATCGGCCTGCACGTACAGCTCCGTGCTGCGTGCGGGGCCGTACCAAGTAGCTGCCGGGAAGGACAGGTGCTGCGTGTGATTCGAACGCAGCCCCCGTCCTTCTCTATGGGGCTACGCGGGCGTACGCCCCCCTACGGACCTGCAAATGAGGTGAGCGTAGGGGGGCGTACGCCCGCGTAGCCCCATAGAGAAGGACGGGGGCTGCGTTCGAATCACACGCAGCACCTGTCCTTCCCGGCAGCTACTTGGTACGGCCCCGCACGCAGCACGGAGCTGTACGTGCAGGCCGATTCGTGTGTGAATGGGGCCTAAGTCTTGCACTGTTGTAAATGCTCCTCTTGTGTACTGAAAAATGTTATTTTTTATTTCAAATTGATATATTGATGCTGCCATTTGTTTGCTCTTGAACATAGCATAGTATTTCAGTAGTTCATCTAGTCATTTGAAATATATTTCACAGTCCTGGTGTTATTCACTAAAATTATTTTAACTACTGTTGATCACTGCTGTCTACATTCAGTGGCCACTTTATTAGGTACACCTTGCTAGTACTGGGTTAGACCCCCTTTTGTCTTCAGAACTACTTTAATTCTTCGTGGCATTGATTCAACAAGATGATGGGAATATTCCTTAGAGAGTTTGCTCCATACTGACATGATAGCATCACACAGATTTGTCGGCTGCACATCCATGATGCAAAGCTCCACCAGCCTGAACCAATTGATACAAGGTAGGATGGATCCATGCTTTCATGATGTTTACATCTGACCCGACCATCTTAATGTTGCAACAGAAATCGAGACCAGGCAACGTTTTTCCAATCTTCTATTTTACAAACTGTAGCCTCAGTTTCCCGTTGTTAGCTGACAGAAGTTGCACTCGGTGTGGTATTCTGTGGCTGTAGCCCATCTGCTTCAAGGTTCAATGTGTTGTGTGTTCAGAGATGATGCTCTTCTGCATACCGAGGATGTGACTGGTTATTTGAATTACTGTTGCCTTTCTATCAGCTTGAACCAGTCTGGCCATTCTCCTCTGACCTCTGGCATCAACAAGGTATTCTTGCCCAAAGAGCTGCTGCTCACTGGATATTTTCTCTTTGTCAGACCATTCTCTGTAAACCCTAGAGATGGTTGTGTATGAAAATCCCAGATGATCAGCAGTTGCTGAAATACTCAAACCAGCCCATCTGGCACCAACAACCATGCCATGTTCAAAGTCACTTAAATCACCTTTCTTTCCCTTTCTGATGCTCTGTTTGAACTTCAGCAGACCATCTTGATCATGTCTACATGCCCAAATGTATTGAGTTACTGCCATGTGATTGGCTGATTTAGATATTTGTGTTAACGAGTAGTTGAAGAGGTGTACGTAATAAAGCGGCCAGTGAGTGTATAAGAAAATCATAAATATTTAAGTAATATGGACTATTTTTATGATGCTTTGATCATATGAGAAAGAGAGGGAGAGAGGGAGTTACACAAGTGCGATATACATGGGTAACCTTCCTAACGGCATTCTACCTTGTGTCTTTGTCTTTATTTAGGGTGACCCCATGACTATATTCGGGACTCCAGGATACAAAGGAAGTAAAGGAGAGCCGGTTAGTGACTGTACATCTAACAATGGTCATGCACAGTTAAATAGTGCAAGCAAAATAACCAGTGCAAACATTTTTGTATTACACATTTGTATATGTTTATAGGACATCTGCACTCTGGAAACCTCTTCATTTTTTAATTTCTCCCTCACTTTGTATTACACATGGGCAAAATGCACTTTGTACATAATGCACATACATGTGTATTTAAAGCACTCAAACACATGTATGCAGACATACAAAATGCATATAGTAGTGCTTGTCAAAAATGTGCATGAATGCATATGCATAGGTGTAAAAGGGCCCTAAAGTAGATAATATCTGACAACAATAAATAGTTACACGTTTATAAGGGCAAATGCAGATAATCACATAGTCTTGATCTGGGATCAGGCTTGGAGTCCACTAGCTGAAACAGCAGACAACTTTGTGGTATAACAGCCCAGGTTTGGTACAGAAGCAGACGGTAGTAGTAGTAGTAGTATAGGAGCGGGCAGCAGCTTAGTCAGAGATCAAGCAGAGGTCAGTAGCCAAAGGTGTCAAGTTTGAAGTAGAAGGCTAAACCTGGGTGGGAAAACAGGTCTCTCCAAATATTTACACCCCTCCTCAGCCAGCATCATTAAAATTAAAAATCTTCAGTTATTGTATGGAATAATTATGTATAACCCAAACCATTGTATTATCTCACTCTGTCTACTTAAGAGATCTCTCCAGCAACAGGCAGAAGCAAACAATGACCTGGGCATAGCGGAAACCCAACAAATACACATAACAATAACAAAGCTATGGCTGGCTACAACCTAGCTGCAAGCATTAAAATGTATTCTAGGGACATCCAGCTATTTAAAAAAAATATACATAATTTGGTGAGTGCAACGTTGCACTTATACATATTGTTTTGCTAGGAATACATGGGAGATTTTTCAAATTTGTGTATAGTAACTTATAGTACTTGACATCTGACATTTCCAGTGCAGACAACTATGTTCTGATAAATTGCAAAGTGACATGATAATCAATAACTTCTCTTAACATAGGGTGACAGAGGCCACCCTGGCTTTGATGGAGACAAAGGAGAGAAAGGGGAGGATGGACCATCTGGAGAGAAAGTAAGTGTGTTCCAACCATATTATCTCTGAAATGGCATAGAGCTGTACACAATAAGTAGATGTTTTGATAAATTCTAAAGTTACCTCAACCCCTATCCAGCCCCTAAAGCGATCATAATGCCCGAGGCGTACATGGACACCTTGTTCATGTGATTACAGCAACTGGTTGTCACAGCGATCACATGGCTGAGACCCCGTTCTACCAAATCCTGATCCTCACTGTGTGATTGGGAGCTATCGGTGAAAACATGATTTAGGGCCGCAGCTACCATGAGGCTAGGCAGGGAGAAGAGGGGCGGCACAGGCTCCAGCTTCTCCTCGGATCCCCGCTGCTCTCCCCTGCCTGTATGGGCAGAGGTAGCGGGGATGCGATGAGAAATGGAGCGCTGCAGCCGACGTGGGGGGAGGGGGAATCGGAGGAGAGTGCTGTCACTTCAGGATGGCTGAGCGGTGAGGAGAGGGAGAGCCACTCGGCCAGGATCAGACAGCCGGCGCCTCTCTCCTCACCGCTCAGCTATCCTGAAGTACTATGCGTCCCAAGTTATGAATGAACAGGAAGTGGTTCACATCACTTCCTGTTCATTCATGAGTTTCTCAATGGGTAGTTGCACTCACAATACAGGCTTCCACCCATTGATAATTAGATGATAGTAAATATTTTACTATCAACAGTTTCTGAATGAATGGGAAGCCTCTGTACTGAGAGCTTTCCATTCATTGAGAACAGAGGCTTCAGTTAAAGGGATTGAGGACTCTGTGTCCTCAATTTATTTTTCTATTTCAAAAGGGAAATGTCAGGGACCTGTTTAGACCTCTGATATTTCCCCCGAAGCCCCCCAAAATAAAAAAACAAATCCTGGAGGTGCCATATGTGCGTTGTGTTGGCTGACATCACA